AGGCAGGCTCGAATGCTCGAAGAAAGATTGCAAGCTGAGCAGGAACAACAAGATGTCTGCACTGCTCATGAGCAGAATGGTAGTTCTCCTGGACCCTTCTCAAATGTGAATGGTTTTGACATGGAAGATAGCAGCTCTGTCAGTTGTTTTACTTCTCACCTTACTTCTCCCTCCTTTGGCTGATTTTTCCTCATTTTTTAGGATGGGCAAGCCGCAGGATCTAGTAATGAAAACACACAACACGGTGATCTTCCCAAAAATATCAACGATTTGGTCTCGAGTGAATTAAATAAACTTCGAGGTAGTAAATATCGTGTTGGTCTCCTGCTCCTTTTATTTCGTGGTCACTGTGATTACTTGTACCTTATGCTTCATACTTTAGTGATTGAAAGTGTTTATTTTCAAGTTCCTTCTCTTCGTGTTCATCCTCCTGCACCAACTAAAGGAAGTCCCAAGCATGATTCGCCTCCAGCAAAGAAACGCAAGAAGATGTCTAGGGTGTGTTGCTTTGCGTTATCTTAATTAATTATCTTTCCATGTTTCGTTATCCTTCTCCTTTCAATCCTGGACATAGAAAACATCTGGGGGAGGGGGGAGTCTTCATTTAAGTTTGTTGGGATAATCTAACCATCTTCGGAGCCTGATAAATTAATGTTAGTGAACAAGGAGTGCGAAGACTCAAAGGCTGATCACGTTTGAATGCTTTAGAGCACTTGCTGTTCTTTTCGTCGTAAGAACTTCAAGACTCTATCCTTACCACATTCTGTCACTACTTATTTGGTTCTCCCTTCCAGAGATTCGTATTTGAAGAGATAGAATACATGTGCAGTGGAATAATCATAGGGATCTTATATCACATGCCGGGAGGGAAAGGGCGTCGTATGTGCATAGGAAATGAGTTCACGGTCCGCAACGAAGCAGCGGCAACGTAAGTGGTTCAGTGAATGACGTGAGCCAGTACCTCAGGACCGCTGCTCAGGCATGAAGCGCAGTTTTTTCTCCAAGTCGGTCACAAGGGCAAGATAACAGGTCATAGTTGCAAGTTACGTTATCTAAACGGGGCAAGGGACACATCAACTGGCTCAGAGCGTTGTCTCTTATGTCCATGTCGCTACGATTCTGAACTCGAGTGCGTGGCCAATCCTACTTAGAGATTAATGAGCATCTTCGTACTCCAGAGAAGTGCTAGCTCGAAGCGTTCCGAGGTTTCCAGATTGGAAATTAGTGGGTAGTCCGATGGGGAAACCCCTTTGTTGCGGCTGAAGCAAACTCGGACCAATATCAGGGACGAGCGAATTTTCGCCAGCCAGCGTTTTGAGGGTTCACTAGCATTTTCGGTGCCCGCCACCGTTTTCAGCAACTAGGAACGTGTGGTGCCGATCTATTGTTTCCCACGTCCACCGGCGTTCTAAGCTTCCGTCAGCTTTTTGCGCGACCAAGGATGTGTAAGTATCTATTACCGCTGAAAAAAACTCAACGCCACAGTGAAGTATGAGTGCACTCTAATACCTATGCTGTAGTGATTGCCGTCCAAGGAAATAGGGTAGAACAAAGTATACATACCAGCTGCCAGCTTGCCGAGAGGGAGGAAGAGGGGCAGTTCGATCACAAGCGTTTCCTTTTCTGTGTTTAGCGAGAGGTTTGCATGATTCTCGCGTTTTTTTTTCATTTTATTATAGCAAAGTTAGTTACCTATGGTCCACTGAATATTGTCCCTAGCATCATCTGCTTTGAAGGCCTAGTCGATTAGTACCGTAAAGTCTAAAACAGGGACAGATCCGCTGGGTAACATGTACCCAGCGGATCTGTCCCTGTTTTAGACTCTCACCATGATCGAGCATTCGGCTCCTTGTTGATTATGCATAACGCCCAAAGCAGGAAACATCATTCGTTGGGGGTTTCGGGCGAGCCCCTCTTTTTTTTTTCTTGCGGGTTGACCCCTGCTGGTTCCTGCTCATCGAGCTGTCGACCGGGGCTGGCGCGGCGGAATAGGATGTATAGTTATATTAAATCAGAAAAGGAAACATCAGCAAACTCTCTCTCAGAAGGGAGAGACGACTCCCTCCCTCCAACAACGTCCCTGAAACAAGAAAAAGCAACTATCAAGAAAAAGTTTTCCTCGACCCAAATACGATCCCCCGCTCCCATCGACCAAATACGGCTTTGCCTGAAGTCTTGGATACGCTCAAATCAGTACATTCGTCGAAATGTTATTCATTTTCGATGAATAGAGGAAGAGACAGTCAAACTCTGTAAGCCTCTTTCGCATCGCCCTTGCCAACAATTTGCGAAAACACAACAGACACATGGAATATGGTGCAACCATATGTTATAGGAACGCATAAGGTGTTCTTTTCATGACTAGTGGCTCAGTATGCTATGTTCAAGAGAATCCTTTCTAGCGAATGTGTGTAGATTTAATTGTTTTCGGAAAATTCTCCATTTAAGGTGTACCCTCTGTCAGTGACGATGCATCAACGTTTTATTTTGCAATATCTCAATCCAACTGGAGAATACCAAGATGTGAGTGGCTTTGAGCATGCCGAACTTGAGAACTTCATTATTTTATTTTTTGAAGGCAGTTGGCACGATGGTTTCCTACTTGGCCTAAAATGATAGAAGGGCACTGTTT